ACACACAGACAACCTCTCGTTAATATGCGTTTTCTGCATTGCATAGCTGCAAAAAACGCATAAAAACTATTAGAAGTTGGAATTAAGTGCTAGTTTCTGCAAAAAGTTCTAGAAGATAACTATCGAATTAAAAGAAAAAAAAGCCCAATTCGTGTTTCCTTGTGGTAACTACCCGGATTCAATGATACGCTATTCAGCCGCTGCACTATATTCATGTAACATTTTTGAATAACTTACGTGCAGGATTTCAGCATGCTTCGAAAGCACAGCTACTTTTTCTGCCAGCGAAGTGTTTTTGTTTAAGTAAGCGGTTTGCGTGAAGTTATCCCAGTGCTCCGTGAATAGATGTTCACGTGGTGCATCTAGTTCTGTCTGGAAAACGACAAAAACCTGTGTGAATGAAATTTCTACTTCAACTGCACGAATATTTTTAGAACTCAAGTTTTTTAAAAAGCTGTAGAGCTTGCTAAATTACACAGTGATGAGTGAAACTAACCCTGAGTGTAAAAATTTTTCCTATCGGAAATCTCTTGGAGAAGACTTTGTCATGTTTGTTTTCCTTTTTCAACTTCCAACCATCCATCGTTTCAAACTCAGGAGTACTTATGATCCTGATCACTTCGTTCATTGTTTCCATAACCTCATTCAGCGCTTTTCCATACTAAAAAAACCAGTAGAGGAATTTGCTGGTTTCATAGTGCGGTTTACTCGAAATGAGAAAATTCGAGTCAAAAGTCAAAAACCCTTCCGTAATTATTGTCTGCAGGAGACTAAAAATTTTGCTATTCAGATTATATACAAAAACTGTTCACGTAACTCTGCTGCACATTTTAAGGTCATTTGGATACTGGTGGCATAACACCCAAATAATATTCAAGTAGCGCAGATGAAGCATCCGCAGCATAAGTAAATACTGCACAACTTGAGCATTTTTACATTGTTGTATCGACACATGTGCGTTATCTGTATGCGGTCCGTATAACATTTGCGTAGAATTTGTACAGCATTTTTGGTTTGCCTAAATTTTTTTTCACTACACTAGGGAAGATTTATGAAGACCAAAGAATCCTAAAAAAAAGCTCAATTACCTTTTCGTGCTCGGGCTTGAGAGTGTCAGTAACACCAGCAACCGTGACCGAGATCGTCATTTGTTCTCGAATTTCTTCAATTACTAACATTCAGATTTTATTTTGATGTCACTTATGAGGCTTGTTTTTCCAAAGTACACAACGAATTCATGTAATTCTATAATTATCGAGAAAACAAGTTCCACAAAAAAGAGAACGAAAAAAAGGTGTGTAATGATGAGTAGCAGTGTCGCATTCAAACCGCTAGCATCTTGAAAGTAATAATACAATTTTCGTCATTTTCTGCAACGTTTCCAAGACAACTGATGTAGCTATTTGTTACAGTTACGGTGTTATGTCCATCGATAGCTAATGAGACAAAAGCAGTGTCTTACGCTGCGAAAGAACCAGTTTGTTTTTTTTTTCTTTTGGAAAATCAGACAGTTGTTTAGCGAATTTAAGAGGCCTTAGCGCTTCGACAAATAGTCCCCCGTGTATTAGATATTGTTTTCAAGGGCCGAAATTATAAAAAATAAGAAAAAAAAGCTTCAAAAAGTTGCTGTATTTGCA